TGGAAAACATTAGTAAATTTCAAAGTGAATTAAATATATTAAAGGACGATTTACTGTCTTTTACACAGGGAAAATATATTAGCCATGAACCTAATCAGCCTCAGACAACAGGAAGCCCCTGCCAGATCCTGCAGCTAATCCCTAATGCAGACATCTTCAGTCCTGCCAGAAGTCACATTCCAGATATGAGTGTCAGCAATAGGGTTGATCTAGTACGAATGAAGCCACAGGAATTCGATGGGAAGGCACCATGGGAAGCATATAGCGCACAATTTGAGCTCCTGGCAAAAATGAATGGTTGGACAGAGGAGCAGAAAGCAGTGCACCTGGCAACGAGCCTGAAGAGACAATCACTGGAAATAATTGGACAGTTGTCAGCAGACGACAGGCACAACTATAGAGCACTGGTACCTGCTCTTGAAATCAGGTATGGAACTCAAAATCAATCCGAAGTCTACAGGTCTAGGTTTAGGACGAGAGTCCGTGCTAAATGGGAGAGCCTGCAAGAGGTGGCACGGGATTAGGAAGTATGGCACACAAGGCCTACCCAACTGCACCACTCGATGTCCTCAAGCTGTTGCTGAGGGATCAGATGCTTTGGACAGTCCACAACTGAAGATAAAAGTAAAGCAAGCATACCCCTCTACTATGCAGGATGCAATGACCAGAGCTCTTGAATTCGAATCCTACGTTAAGTCCAACACAGAGGTACCAAGGTTGGTACAGTCATCGGGATTCAAGGCCAGAAAAGGTCAGCTTTCAGAGAGGTTTGAGGGACTTTGCTGGCACTGTAACAAACATGGGCATAAGAGAGCTCAATGCCAGCAACTTCAACACAGGGAAGATGCCACGGCAGGAAAGGCTGCTACCCAGAAAGGTTGTTGGAACTGTAGAGAGCAAGGACATATGAGGAGCCAGTGTAAAAAGAATACTACCAATAAGTCAGCCTTGGATAAACCAGTAGTGGGTGGTGTTGAGAGATGCCTACCAACTTCTACCGTGAAAATCCCAACAGCTAAATGTAAAATGGCAAGCACACATAGTCTACATGACAAGAAAGCTAGATGGCCAAAAGTGCAACTTTGTCATAGATTCTGCATCTCAGCAAACCCTTGTGAGCATCAAGATGCTAGATCCCAAAG